TCGATGCAACCCCTACTGTGTAATTGGGTAAAGTGGAGTAACTAGTCAAAAGTGAAATGGACAATTGTGTAAAATGCAAACACTTGTTTAATGTGCTCAAGAACTGGTTTGAAATGTGTAGCTGAGATGCACAAGATAAATGATCTCTGTACCTCAACAGTCAATACATGCTAAGGAAAGGGATAGAACAGAAAATCACCCGGCCTATTCCAAAAAATCAGTTGTTACATCTGCAAAAGGCCCAAACCTTTTCAACAAAGCAGACTTTAACCACAGGTGGCATAAGCTTTGGGATGCTATGGTGGGTTATGTAATGGTTTAGAGAATGTTGAGTTTTCACTGAACCTCTAGCAACAATTTCACCAGTAAGGGAGAGCTGAAAAAGTAATGAGGTAACTCTTGTTCATACCACAGATGAGCTGGCTTGGGTGATAGAATGTGATATCATTGAACGGCAAGCTTGTCAATGGTCTGGGGAAATGTAGCGCAAGGGTGCCCAATCCAGTTTGTGGAGATGTACCTACCAGCAAAGGTCATTTTAAACCCACAAGCAACTAAAGTAATTCAGAAAAAGTTACAGACAGGTGCCTTTGATTACAGTTGGAAGTGGACTGTGTAGGAAGGTGGATCTCCAAGAACAGGATTGGGCACCCCAGCCTAGTGCAATGTGAGGTTGTGGCTTGTTGCGGTGATTGAGAATGTCATTGTGTGATCGGCACATACAGAAAAGCGGCTCCACAGACCTGCCGCCTCTCACCTCAAAACAAAAACACTACATCTTCATACTTCACACAAAAAAACACTTCTCACAAACATTTGCAAACAACTAATGCAGTCTACCGCTGACTGTACAATGCAGCGCACAGCTCTGCTCAACAATGACATTTAGATAACAGTGCGCTGTCTGTTTTCATCAGCCAGCTGCCAACAGGAAGTGTCAAAAACAGACGGTGACCGCTGCTGTGTCAGCACTGCCCTCCTCCCTTTTAAACACACACACACAAAAGATCTACATTTTTTTGCTCTTTAACATTTCTTACCTTACATGCAAAAATCACTTGCATCTACTTTCATGCTGTACACCGTAAAGCGCTGGGGAAGAACAAATGTGCCAATAATAAATTAATTAACATCAATCGTACCATCAATGACAGTCAGACTACTTGCCTTGGTCTTCATTGATTGTACTGCATTTTATATTCACATTACACCATGCTTAAACACCAAAAACAATTACATGTTCACCTTTTGATAATCCAGTGGTGTATCTGCATGGACAAATTGTACTCTGGTTACAGCACTTCATATTTGTATCATTACACATTTACTTGGTGTTTTTATTTTTTTAAGACAACGCTGAAAATCTGTAATTCCTTGTTTTTCTTCAAGTCTCGCTGAGAAACCTACCCACAAACTAAATTATGTAGTCATAACAAGGTTACAATAGTGTTCCTCACTTAATTGGCGAGCCAGCTTAAAGCCCTTGCATGAAACTCCGCTGTCACAAATCAAACCTTAAGCACATCACCCAAAATGTGCTTCTTTTCACACATTTACTTAGACATTAAGGCATTGGTTCAAACGCATGGACTCGGAGGAAATCCGACGCTGGGCTGCATAAGCCCTCTAACAAAAGATACAAAGGCTTTTGTTAATGTGGGTCAGAGTATTTGGCTTCGATTGCGACAGCACAAAGACATTGTCATAGAAAAGGACAGATTCTTCAATTCAGCATTATGAAACATCAGTAAGAATTTTTTTTTTTTAATTGTTACAATTGAATTTTAAGTCATCAACAAACCCATTTCTTACGCTCCAAAGTGTCTTCTAAAAATGTTTTGTTCCCAACATTGTAGAGAACTTGAAACCATTTTATAAAACAACATCTATAGGCTTCCTCCCTCCACCTTCTTTAAAACGTAAAGGATACCGATGCCATCCACAGTGACAAAGGTGGTAAAATAGGGTGACACGTGGATCTTCTTCAGATTGGCTCCCATCGTGTAGAATGTCTGCAAGGCCTCGCCAGTCTCCACGCTCCACCACTATGATGAAAAAAAAACAAAATACAATGAGCTACATTCCCTGGGCTCAACGTCTGTGTCGTTGTAACAGTTGCAGCATTTTCAACGGTGGAAAACTTCAGACGCTGACACCTGAGGGTCTCTGTCCCCCATGGCTGCACGGAAATGCTCTAAAAAAAGTAGCAAAGGAAATGTCGTCAAATGCATGTTAACAGAACTGCTAAATGAGTGCCAACACTGGAGGGTTACGGCGCCTGAGAGGCGTGATTGTTACGTTGGCACGCTGAGAAAATGAGGCCACTGAGCAGCTACCGGCCAAACTGTCAGCGACGACAACGACAGATGCCTTCGACCGCAGCGCTTGTTTTTACGGTCTCTGCGTGCAGATGCACAAACACGGCCCCCCCGACAGGCTCATTAATCACACGGCCCGCGCTGTGAATTAACGGGTCTCATTTGCATTTAACAAGCTCATTCTCCACAACTTACAGTTTCGTGCTGAAAACTCACCACCAGTCGTGATAGTTTTCTGCCCAGTGTACCAAACCTCCAAATATAGAACTATGGCGGGACATGATTGCCTCATTCAGACACAGCACATTGCTTCGCTTGTGCGTTTTCTGAAAAAAAATGTTTCCTTTCCCTGATGGCCTAGCTTCTCAGCTAAAATATTCTGCACTGCCTCTATGGTCCCCAAAACTCAAGGCAATAACAACAAAGGATAAGCACTAAAAGGTGGGCCGGCCAGACACACACATACAGTTGCTTTAAAAATTACAACCTTGATATGTTTGGAACATCCGTTTCCTGCCCTCGAAGGGTACAATTAAAGGTAAAGCAGCACGTTTGCGGATGTGATGTTGCTTTTGTACTAGCTAACTCAAATTGTTTTACACCAATTTAGACCACTTTGCTTGAATATTTTTTCCTCTGAAACTACATTCCAAACAGAAGCTCGTTTGACGGCAAGCGATGCAGACCGATGGTAGGTAAATTACTCGAGGCTACGTTTGCAAACGCAGTTGTTTTTCATTCGGACAGGATTAACAAAACCACCTGAGCTCCTCGTGGAAAACTAATCCGGTCCAAATAGGGCTTAACACAGATATATTCTTTCCGCTGGATGAGCATGCACTGTATTCTTGAAAAGTTAAAGTCGCCCTGTGTCAAGGAAACAAACTTTAGACTCGTATGTCTTCAGACCACATCTGTCAGATGATATGCGCTGTTGTTTTGGTGCTAGTGCATCTGTTAAAAGGAAGTCAAAATCACTTAAATAGCATTGCATGCATAAATAAGACATTTATGCCGTATGCTTGTATTGAAACTCATTCCTCATCATCCTGACATCAGCATAAAGGCAACGGACCAAACGCGACAGCAGATGGAGAGAAAGCATTTTCAAACACAAACTTCACATTCTGGTCACAAAAAACACATAGGGCACATAAAATACCTGCAAATTCAGGCTAAGAAGTGCTATTATGCGACCGGGAGAAAAATGTCACCAGTAAAGAAACAAGACCTCAAATTATTCACCAAGCCAAGGCCAACTCTCCTACTCTTATTTTCATGTTTTTTTTTTGGGCGCAACTTTAATTCTGAGAGCTGCGTTATTTCTCACATGGTACCCAGTGTAGTATGGTCTGGAGAGACAGACCTGTCCTTGTTCCACTCCATCCACTCTACTCGTATGCCAAAGAATACAAAAATCCTTTGTGTGCAGTCAAAGCAGACTGGGTGGATTTCCAGAAGTTTCTTTAAAAATGATCTGAACGAGAGGGGACACGACTTGTCTGGACCTCGGTGTCTCAATCGGGAGAGTGAGGGGAAGGGTTCAAGGACAGTGTGTTGCATGAATAAGAAGAAAAAACAATTTTATCATTGAAGTAAGCGAAGAACTGCATATCTCCTGAGAAATCACATTTCTATACACACACAAGCAGACAGGGATGGTTGAGGTCAGAAGAGCAGGGGCCAGCCGTCATCCTCAGACCCTGGGGGCGTGGTGAAGTTGAGCGACATGCCCAAGGGTACAGAGTTAGCAGCAGCAGCGGCCCATTACTTCTTGTTCTCCCTCACCCTCTGTGCATTTTGGGTTACATCTACCGCCAACTACACTGTGTACGGTGACTGGGTTGGCCGGGCTATAGCTGCAAAAGTCAAATTTCCATACGAAACAAGATATTCTATTCCCTTTTGTAATCTAAAATATACAATTGTAATGGCAATGTTTGTACTTATTTACAATCGCTTTCGTGGCATCGCGTGAGAATATCTTGTATGTCTGCAACTGTCACAGCATCCATTTTTGACTCTACAACTCAAATAAAGGTGTCTGACTTTTTTAACCATCATGCTTATCTGGCCTGCAGTAAAAAAAAGAAGCACTTGGGCAGTTCTCATTATATAAGAGTAACATCACACCTTGTTTAACTACACTTCCACAGGAGCAGTGGAGAAACCAAGAGAAGAGGGGAACCCACCTCAGACTTTAAAGCTCAATTATTCCTTTATAAATCCAAAGGCCGAAATATTCATGCACACACAATCCCTTTCCTTTCTTTCCTGCAATCTCTTTCTCTTTTATTCTGTTTGTCTTTGTTCTCGCTCTTTCTATTGTCTGTATTGTGCAAAGTACAGAGGAATCCTCCACTGAGAGAAATGGGAGTGTGCGCTGTGCCGTCAGCCCTCTGTAGCATCTTTCCTGTGTGAACGCGCTCTGACGGGTCATCTGCCGGGAGTCTGGACCGAATCGTTGAGTCATGGCTTGGCGTGTGTCTGCCTGCCCCGAGCTAAACATTCAGATCACTTTCAACCAGATAAAGTCAAAGTTGAGTCATTACGGGCAAATGAAAACCATAACTTGTGGCGTTTTAACTCTTTTGAAAGGTTGAGGTCATGTGAGCAAATGGGTCAAAAGCTAGCACTCAAGGTTGTCTTCTCGATGGCCGATGTCTGACAAAAAGCCATTTCTCTCAAAGTCAAACATCTCCCCTCTGGACAAAACTGAAATGCAGGACGATTCATCAAGTACACTACGACGTAAGATAGGTGCAAGATGACATTTCAATAGCGAGTTAAAGGAACAATTCATTCAAAAATGAAAAATCTACTCAGCCAAACAGCACGCAAACCACTTAAATTACAATTTTGCTTGGTTACTCACAAAAACCTGTCATAGGGTTTCAAAAGGCTTGGAATACAGCACACGAACCACACTTTTACAGAACAGATAGGTGATTGAACTGTTCAAACAATAAACTGTTACATTTGATATAATAGTCGGGCAAAGCGGTCCTTCCTGTGCTACGTGCACTCAAGAGAAATTAAGAACGCAGAGCCTTCAAGTGACAGGTGACAGGTGTTGCAATCCGTGTCAAACCTTCCTACAGTACAAGAGCGCGTTGTGCCGCTGGCAAACATTGAAAAGACAAACAAATGGATTGAATGAATTCTCTCAGAAACTATTAAATAATGAAAGGCTACAACCCAAAGTAGGGGGGAAAATCGAAATGGAAAGGAAATGTTTTTTCACCTACAAACAAGAAGTCTAACTTTCATTTGGATTAAACATGGCAAACAAGACGAGAACAAGTCCATCTCCCTTACGCATCCAGACACCTCAGAGGAATTGTGGAAAAAAAAAAAAATACTCAAAAACAGTGCTTGGGGCTGTTTCAGTCTAGCATCGCTACGGCTACAAAACAAAAGCATCTTTTTTTTCTCACAGTTGTTTGAGTAGAAACAGACAAAGGAAATAAACAGTCTCTTATTTGCAGGTGAACGCTGTTGTGGGACCCGAAGCAATAAATCGTTGTGATATAAACGTTCTGTCTGGTAGAGGTGAAGGTCTGGATGCCCCGGAGCTGATGTGTGTGAATTACTATGAGTCTCCCAACAGCAGCCAAACCCTCCAGAGGACAAACAACACTACGTGTGTGAAAGAAAGGGAGTGGGGCAGTGTGATTTAATGCGTTTGAGCCTCTTCCTCGCTAAAGGTGTAATATCCTGGCTGACCTCCTCATCCGTTTCTCCTCTCCTCCAGGAAATATTTCGGTCACTCGCACACACACTGCTACAATAATCATTTGTCTTTTATGAGTGAAAGCTAAGGGTGCCGATACAATCACCGATACAGATCTTTTTGAAGCCTTCTTTTTATCATGTAGAATTATTTAGTGATGCTCCAATCTGGATTGCCACACAAAATCATGTCAGAAATGACAGGCTTAAGCGAGAGACACTCATCATGCACCCAAAAAAAGGTTTGCTCGCCAGTGTGGGAGTTTTTTTTGGGATTCACTGTCTGAAAAACAGAAGACAAAAAGTTACTACATATATACGTCTCACAAATTACTTCGAGTCATTCTGAATATTGAATCTGTGAGCATTTACTAATGCCATTACTAATGAATCCCTGACTTGCTGTCTGACTTTAAATGAACTAAGATCCGTTACCGTGAGATTAAACGTGGATGGCGGCAGGCCAGTCAAGTCAGTTGTTTTTGTACTCTGATGGACTGAACTGCAAGTGGTGTCAAAGAATAAGCCTCGCTGATGGCTCGATACAAATAGAAATATGTCAACGACAAACTGCGGAAGGCAGACATCAAAAGATGTAGATGCTGCTGAGAGGCAGATCACCTCAAAGTGAACGCAGAGAGCTGCCGTGCCAAACAAGATCAGGCGTGGTGATATATATACAAGACTCTTTCTGCCATCTGAATGACAAGCTAAACCGAGTTTAACAGAGCAAACGAGGCTGCTGTCCCATTATGACACCCGACAAAATTCAGCTTAATTTCATTACATTCTTTTTAAATCTTTTTGAAGGCTTTTTTTTAAACATAATTGGTGATAGAGGAGAAGATGTTGAAAACAGTACAACGTTGCAGGCTGAATTCAAACTTGTGCCGCCGCACGAGCACAGCAACTAAATGTGCAAACTGCTAGGTCATGGCTCAGATCATAATTTTGCTTTGAAAATGTCAAAGTTTGTCTAGATCACATGTCTGACATAAAAGCAAGTGACAACATGGACAGGAAATTAAATACCTAGGGATTCTTCACAGGAACTTACTAATCTACTATTGCAACTTCACACAACATATGCTTGACACAAAATATAACCGGATCCTGCAGGTGACGTTAATTCTCAAATCGGAACAGAAGCGCATCTACAGCGGGAAGCGCACCGTTGACGTGTCACGTCTCATGCACCTCCTTCCTTTGTGTGGTCGTAGTGGATTTACGGCAGGTTTGGTTCGGTCTGATGAAGAGGTTTGGCTGGGGATGTGGAACCAACACTGACGATGATTAATTTATCATTTGATATTATACACAGCGAGATCCTTAGTGTGAGGACAGCTGGCGATCAATCAGAGCTTATTATTGGGTCTCTGACAGATACGTCGCTCGCACGCTCGAGCAGAGGGTCAGGAGCAGAGGGCAGCCCGATGCAGACGCATTTGATAAACTGACAGATTGATGCGTGATGAAGCATCATTATGCCTGTGACACTTACTCAATGTAAAGACGGCTCTAAGTGTATTAATAAAGAAGTTGCAATGCGTGATGGATAATGGCTGACATTGTTGATGGAACTTAGTCTCGCTCCGTTACTGACATGATAATGTGCCTCTGTGACATGAGCGATTGGACAAGCGTCTGCCTGATAATAAAGATGAAATAGTCATGATGTCAAGAGACTGGCGAGACTTCATCTTGGTTGCACTTTTGCACGACGCCTCAGAAAGAATGCAGGGCAATGGAGTATTACTATAATAATAAGTATTATCATCAATAAAGGTATAATAATTATAACAATAATAAACAGTAATAACATGTTCAAATTCAATACGATTCACTGGGTATATTTTAATATCAATATTTATTAATTAATTAAATATCTGCTGACGCTGTAAATTATACCTAGCAGAGTTTCAGACCCTCGTCTCAGGCTACACTGATTATGCTGCATTTTTAATTCACCAATTAAACAAAAGTTACAAATCTTTGTATTATTTTTACCCAGCTCTAAATCATAACCGCACATGCAGCATTCTCAGGATAAATGAAGCTAATAAAAAAACAGCTCTTTTCCAGGGTGCGCCACTAAGAATTTGCTTGTATACGGTGACATCATCTGTATAATAAGTGTACCTTGATGTATCCACCGGTAGAGACCAGTACTCTGTTATCAGGGGAGAAGTGCAGGTCAGTCACCCATCCACCGTGGAAAGAGTCCATGGAGTCCTTAGTGTCCCGGGAACAGATCTTCAGAAGAGCTCCATCCAGCATGCTCCACAGCTTTAAGATACACAACACAATACAACATTAGTACAAAAGAAATGGGTTATCAAAATGCATACGGCACAACACGGATTCCACAAAAGTGTATTTATAATGCATCAATGTTTCTTGTATGAATCAGAAATCGCTTTTGAGAAAATAAAAATGCAAATATATCCTTTTTTACAGCACTAAAGCCTGATTTACAGATATTACTCTGTGATGTGTGACTTGACATTTCTCTGTGGCAGTAAACAGTGTTACATAGAGAAATGCTGTGATGTTTTAATTCATGGCTTGTGGTGCTTTTTCAAAGCTCACGTCTCTCTCACTTTCTCTCTTTGCGAGCAGCATCTTTAATTAATGAGGTAGATCTTTCCTTTATGGTTCTGAGCACTGTGGCCTGTCTCCCCGCAAAAAAAAAAAAAAAAAAACTCAGAAGAAGGCTTGGTAGAACTGACATGGAGGCGATGCCGAGTTGTGAGGCATCAAGACGTATTTGTCCTTGCATCACTTCTCTTAATATCTCCATTTGCTCTCAATGTGGCCATAATATCTGCTCACATTCACAGATGTCCAAAATTCACTGTAATTGATTACCTTTGCCATTACAACTTCTTTACAACTCTATTTGGGTGATTGTTCAATTAGGGGAACTATTGTCCCCCATAACGAGAAAAATAAAAACAGTGCAGTTAATATGTAGAATTTTGCCAACACTTGCCGTCCAAAAAGATCTGAGAGTTCCTTTATTAGGCATCATTACTCTCTTGGTTTAAAAAAAAATAAAAAAATAATAAAATAAAAAAAGTTGGGATTGGGTCGCAAATATCAAAAATCCTTACCATAACACATACTCAAATCCCTCTGAAGTTTTATCAAGGCCACAATCAGATCTTTATTCCCTTTAACTCAGATGATTCACAGTATGAAGCAGCTTAAGATTTTATTTACCCTGATTTCTCCGTTGTCATCCCCCGTCGCAAGTCGCTTGTTGTTCCAAGAAAAACGGCAGCTACGAACACAGTCCTTGTGTCCCTTCAGTAAAAAAGTGTTCTCCCACGAGGCACTGCTCCATACCTTAGGGAACAATATCAGCAGTTACAAGCCATTTTATAGCATGAACTGAACAAGCGCAAAACTGTAAAGTAATTTGAAGAGATCTAATGTCGTTTTTGAGAGATCTCTTTGTGAAATGGTTCATATAATAAATTGGAATCAGAACAAACTTGAGCAAATCATCAAAACTGCTGCTTGAAATTAGTTTTTCCATCTCTAATTTTAGTCAAGAGTTAGTCACTAATTGTGGCGGGTCCATTTGGCATGAATGATTTTTCTGATCTGCTCTCCAAATTCACTTTGCCGTCCTCTCTCTCGCCAATCGGTGAGAAGATCTGGCAGACAGACGTGAACATGGCATCTCATTAGAAAAGGTTTTCTGGTAGAAGCGGAGTGAGAACTTCATCTCATTACGCTCTCAGACGAGCAGACTGGACTCTGACCTCTGATACCACAAACAGAGGGCGCTATGCGTGTGTGTACGTGTATCTGTGAGCTTTTGTACTGTGTTCACACAAAGTTAATTAGGCAGTATTTGGCCGTACGTGGCATCATTAACGCAAGCACCCAAGGCTCAGTAAAGATACTCCAGGTAGTCACCTAGCACCTGCCAACACCGACTCACACCTAGCGTGAACACAAACTAACAGTGTAACGGGAGCAGGTGTTCACAGTCAGAGCCCAGGATGTAAACACAGAGGCAGACGAAGCTCTGAGAGTTAAATGTGAACAATATCTTGTCCACTGACACTGATCTGATGTATGAATTTGTGACCTCTGTTCTCTGACCTTAGCAGTCCTATCGGCCGATGTGGTGGCAAAGAGATGTCCGTCAGAGGACACATCACATGACAGGACAGCACCCTTATGACACTCAAGGTCTTGCAGCATATGCCCTCTGTTCAGATCCCAGACCTGCAACAAAAAGAAACGAAAAGACTACTTTGCTGAAAATGTCAGGAGGAGCTTTGCATTAATATGGTACACTTCAGTGTCCCATGATTTGAGTTAAACAATTAAAACTTAGAAAATTGATATGACAATTATAAACTTATCTAAAAAAAAAAAAAACAAAGGGGAAAAAAAAAAATTATATGAAGGGTTGCTAGTTGTAAACATTTTCTGTATCTATTTTGGCCTGTCTCACCGCAGATGACTATATCCAACAAATAAAAAAAAAAAACGCAATCATATGCAATTCTATAAAAAAATAATATTTTACATTAAAACTTTTACATTAAATCAATTTTCGTAATTCATGAATTTACTAGACACTATAAACAACCATGCTAGATCCTACAATGTTAAAGCCTAATTCATACTAAATTTGCACTCCTGTTAACCAGTTAGGTGTAGTTAGTTTTAAAAACAGTCCATTCTATTCTTAATTTTTCATTCTTTCTATTGCTAGAAAAAAAATCAATTCAAAACTATTTAGACCTCATACAAATGGAACAGGAAATCGAAAAGCTTTTATAATTTACTGAGACTTTGAATCAAGGATAAGCACCTCTTTTCATGGGCCAAACGTAAGTGGTTCAGGCCCATTTTTGTACCCTATTTGTGGAAAGTGGCAGGAAGATGTGGACCACATTAACAATCTTTCCCCCAGAAGCCCTGATTACAATTGGGGTGAAGTGTAACAACTTCTGCTGTTGAGATCTTAAAAAAGCTGTTTGCAAGTGATTAACTGCATGCATCACCTAATTATCATGATTGACTGGGCTTTCAGTCCACAATTTGGACTTGATAACCATGTTTTGCACTGAAAGCAATGCAGTCTATAGAAAAGAGTTAAATGTGGTCTTCACGTCATCCTTCACACTCTCTGTGTCCTAAAGATTGATTCATTCAAATGCAGAAAAATAAGTAGAGGTTTTGTTTACCTTAAGAGTGCCATCAAACGACCATGAGAATAGGTGAGAGGAAGAAGAGTTGTTCAACAGGTGAAACTTCCTGACCGGCTCCTTATGGCCCTCCAGCACCAGACACTCACCTGTCCTCCACTTCCACACCTGCAGACGAAGACAACGTTCATCCTTTCAAAAGTTAACTTTGACATTTAAGGTCTCCTGAAACGGATTTGCTAAGCTTATAGCATTTGAAGTATTGATTTTGGTTCAAAGTGATAAACTTTGATCCTACTACACAAGTCCTAAAGGTCTTAATGACTGTCACTTATCCATTCTTACAGAATTTCAATGTGCATGCAGCAGTTCACAAACGGTTTTCCCCTCCTCACACTTTCTCGGCTTGTCACCAATGATACAACGAGCCCTGTAATGACCCAGTGCCCAAAACTTCTCAAACGAACACAACAGCTGCTGCAGAAGTTTGTGAGCATGTGGCCTAATTACTAAATTGCACCTGCAAACTGCATATGAGACTTTTTCCTCACAGCCAGAAAATGCATATAAAAGGTTTTATCAAAAAGACGTAATAAACCACCACATCCTAATACACAAAAAAAAAACTAATTTGTCCTCATTGAAAGAAATTTTGCACGAATCACATACGAATCATAAACAGGAATGTTTGGTTAATAAAATATGATAAATTACATTAAGTATAGACATTTCTTTTTATTTGACTAAAAAAAACTAAAGAGAATAGACCGCATCTTCATTATGAGCAACATTTAAAAGTGAATTACCCGGACAGTGGTGTCTTCTGAGGATGTGATGAGGGTTTCACCATCATCAGTGAACTGACAGTGGTGAACAGTCCTAGTGTGACCTGTGAGCTTCAGTGATGTTTTTCCAGATGGAACCTCCAACACCTTCAGACAGATAGACAATGTAAAACTTTGTTCAAATGCAATTGCAACTTTTCCTTTTATTTTTGTTTACTTGATTGTGTACAATTATTGTTTTACTACTAAAAATTAGAGGAAAAAAAAAAAGAGCCTTTTAAAAGTGAGGAGAAATAATGACAAGTATGATGGCAAAAAATTCAGCAAACCTGTACATCTAGAAAAAAACAATTCTGTATGAGACGACAAAAAAAAAAAAAGTTAAAGGGCAAGGTGGCATTCAGGATAGCCAGACTGATTATCGGCCCTCTCTGCTGCATCTAAAGCTTCAAAACGCAAACTTCAAAAGCTGCCTGGGGCTACGGGAGAGTGTGCTGTGTTTTTGCAAAGTAAATAAGAGGTATTTGTGCTTGCGGGTTGGTATTCTGGTCTTGCGTGATCAAATGCTGTGAAAATGTTGATTTCAGAAATCAAGTATGAATGTGTACAGAACACAAAAATAACAATGTCAGTGTTAAAGACAAATTATTCTTCAGAAATCAGTCTAATATGCTGACTTGGTGCTCAAGAATAATTTCTTAATGTTGAAAACAGCTGTGCTGCTTAATGTTTTTGGGGAAACTTTTTTCAGAATTCTTTGAAAACATTCGACAGTATTATTTCAAATAGATTTTTTGAAACATTGTAAAGAAAGTCACATAAATAATCGCTGTGTGAACAGCCCATGACATTTCACACACTTGCCACTCACCATACCTGCACTGTACCTGTCTCTAACCCTAGTGCCAGCACAAAATCACGCTGTAAGTTCAGCAGCTGCAAGGCTCTCCATCCAGTGTTCTTCAGAAACTGTCTAACTTTCACTCTTCCTGTCTGCGCACACATATACACAAACAAAGACCTCATCTCTCAATTTTTCCACTCACTTCAATAATGGCAGGGATCTCCTTGGGGGGGGGAAGACATGCAAGAAACCCTCCGTTACAGACTAACTGTTTTTACTGCAAGACAATTGCTTTAGTAGTGAGCTGTTCATGCTTTCCATGTTCTACACAGTCCAGTAACAATCTGGTGCCCTCTGGTGTTTCATATTGGTACCAACATCACTGCAGATGAAGGGAAGCCTTATTTACATTAACAAAGCTGCAAATTGTTTTATAAAATGTTAGATCAACATTGTTTAAAGAAATGTTCCAGTTACAATTTTCAATCAACACTAAATCAACACTACAATTAACACAAAAATAACTTCAGTTTAAAAATAAGTAAAAGAAAAAGAAATAAAAATAAATATCTGTTGTAACTGTCTGTGGTAAACAGTATGTAACACTGGCTGTCAACAGAGTTTCATTTGTACTGAACCGGGTACATTTCTTCAAGTTTTTGTTCTGCTTATTTAAAGCCATCTGTCAATCTCTCTTTAAGGTGAACACAGACAATCAGGCAGAGATGGAGTGGAGCAATCTAAATAAATGGTTGTTTGGCAGTAAATGGGTGTAATGTAAGATTGTTAACACTGCTTATTCTATCAGTCAGCTGTTACCTCTAGGCGTCCCCGCTGTAACCGACGTACCAGTCACATCTATTACACTACAGTACACACTGTGCAACAGAGGAGGACAACACTCGCCTCCAGCACAACGACATTCAGTAGGGAGAGAAGGGAAGGGACGGGTTTGGGAAAGGAAGGGCGAGAGATTAGAAGGCTGAGAGCAGTTGACAGCCATGGCAAATCTCATTGCCGGAGGTGAGTCAAAACACCCACAAGCATCCTAAAGGCTATTTTTTCCCAGAGTGCTTTGCATGCTCATCCAAAAACCCAATAAATTGAGTATAATATTAGGATGAGACAGTTGGAGATGATGATATCCCAACAGGTGAAATACCTGTACAGTTCCATCCTCAGTTCCTAGGGCCACAAATGAAGCATTTCTGCTGATACACGTACAGCGAATCCTGGACAGCAACTCTTCACTCTCAAACAGAATGGCACCTGCCGATCCGGTCCGTACCTGACTGACCAAAATGCAACATTACATGTAATATATATATGCAATAAAACAAAAAACAGCAGCAAGCTAGCACTAGATGCACATGTCTCTTGTGGACTGTACCTGTAATCTGTTTCTGCTGTCTGGTGCCACTATTGTAACGTCACTGTGGGAGAAGAGAACATCAGAATCCCGCTTCAGAGCCGCAGCAGAGGAGGTGTGAACCCGATCTGTTTCCCACGTTCCACAACTAAAAAAAAAAAAAAAAACATCCCAACATTACTAACATTAACACAAATCAGAATTACCTTATCCCATGTTTTACATTGTTCATTCTTAATACTTAATAACCAACATGTCTGCATGTCCTGTGAACTTGTCATGTAAATCTGCACTGGCTGTTTTCTAAAACACTTCTGTTCAAATGTTTGGTATAAGTAAGATTCTTAAAATAATACTTTTATTCAGCAAGGATGCATTAAATTGATGTGTGATTGCTGTGAATCAAATAAAAAAATATATATATAAAAAGCTGTTACAGGCACCAAATCAAAAATATTGAGTGGCGATGCCAACTCCTCTCATTTCACAACAACACTCACAAAATCACTTACAAACACAGCGTTTCTGGCAGCACAAATGATCCGTGAGCCATCGACCGACCAAGTGCTGCATTTCACAATGGCTTTTATTTCATCAAGCCGTGAGCCATCGGCTGACCAAGTGCTGCATTTCACGATGGCTTTTATTTCATCGTCACTCTCTGGGAAAAAACTATTGACATCAATTGATTTCCACTCATTCGCAGATGACACCTCAAACAGCTGAAAGACACAAAAGACAACAGTTCAAGAAACACATAAGAGAACACCTGTACTGACCGAAGATGATCCAGTAGTTTGAAACACTTATAAATGTGAATGTAAATGTTATAGATGAGGTTGTAGATCAAGTCTTACACACATATATAATATAGTATATACACACACACATACATACACACATATACATATAATTGGAGATGATGATATCCCAACAGGTGAAATACCTGTACAGTTCCATCCTCAGTTCCTAGGGCCACAAATGAAGCATTTCTGCTGATACACGTACAGCGAATCCTGGACAGCAACTCTTCACTCTCAAACAGAATGGCACCTGCCGATCCGGTCCGTACCTGACTGACCAAAATGCAACATTACATGTAATATATATATGCAATAAAACAAAAAACAGCAGCAAGCTAGCACTAGATGCACATGTCTCTTGTGGACTGTACCTGTAATCTGTTTCTGCTGTCTGGTGCCACTATTGTAACGTCACTGTGGGAGAAGAGAACATCAGAATCCCGCTTCAGAGCCGCAGCAGAGGAGGTGTGAACCCGATCTGTTTCCCACAGCTAGACAAGAGTTAACACTAGTTGTGATAACAGGTCAATACTGTTCAAAGAATAACTGCAAAAAAACTGTCACGCTACAGTAAGAGAGGGCCCAAAGCTAGCTTACCCTGATGGTCTGATCAGAGGAGGAGGACAGCAGGAGTGAGCCGTCAGGTGAAAACTGGACAGTGTGTGTGTAAGACTTGATCTACAACCTCATCTATATATAATATAGATACTATATAATATATAATACATACACACACATATATATACACATATACATACATACATATATGTAAATTAAAAATGTAAATATTTTAAAAAATAAATTTTTATAAAGCAAATGCATTAAATAACCAGGCAAATTAATAATTAAATAAAATAAATAGGCAAGTAAAACAGCTAGACAATAAATCAAATAAAGCAAAGAAACAGTCAAGTAACCTTCAAGGTGCCGTCACTGGATGAAGTGGCAAGGTAGGCGTCGTTAGGAGAAAAGCAGCAGTGATTGACAGGTTCCATGTGTCCAAACATAGTGTTCTGAGAGGTCGGCTTGTTGGGATTCCATAGCTGCAAGAAAGACAAAGACAGAAAGAAAAGAAAGACGGCAAAAAGGTAAGATGAATAGAAGAAAGGGTAACGTATGCTTTGTGTAGGGGTCTTGATCACTCTGTCAGGGTATAATGAACAGGACAGACTATATAAGAGAAGAACATATTTAGTCTGCAGGAAATGTTTTGTGTTCAACACATCTGCCGTTAAATTCTCTAAATATCATTTCAGGGTGTTTCTTTCACTCCTCATCCAGAGATATTCCACGAAATGTGC